AAAACAAGATTATTATTCTTACACAATCAGTTCTTTAGTAAATCAGTCTGAAAACAAGATCAAAAATACTTTTTGGCTGATACAAGATTTTAAAACTTGGTTAGATGGACATTTTTTGCAGTGCATTTCTACCTGGAGTCCATTGTTCTGCAGGGAGGGAGTGGAAAACAGTGAAAGCATGGCGGTGGAGGTGTAATGATGAACTCCTCTAGAGTCCATGTGACTTCACCCGTCCGCAGCTTGGACCAAAAACAGGATGATCTCAAACATCAGCTAAAACACAACAGAACTGGTTCAAAAAATAAATTAAAAAAAATACTGATCCAGTTCAAGGCCAGAGCTCAACAGAAACCTGGGAGCTGAAGACCGCTGTGCAGAAACAAATAATGTTGAATGAAATGAAGCAGCGTTGTAAAGAGGAGTGGGCCAAGACTGCAGGAAGTGACTGTCTGCTCCTGCTAATGGAGGTCTGATGAGCTGTTGAATCAGCGGGGTGGGCTCAGTTTGTTCTGTTTATGACACCATGAGGGGTTTGTACACTCGTAGGTTAGATCTGAATTATTTTAGAAGCTTTAAAGACCAGATCATTGTCATGATAAAGAAAATGATAGAACTGAGAGAGAGAGAGAGAGAGAGAGAGAGAGAGAGAGAGAGAGAGAGAGAGAGAGAGAGGGGGGTGGGGGCTTTCTTTTCTCCACAACTATAAAACATCAATAAGACTTAATAAACAAACAGGTAGCTGCTGCTATCATCATCATCATCATCATCATCATCATCATCATGGCTCAATACAAGCAGTTTACCAGCTGAGCCTCTTCCTGCTTTTTAATAACATGCTGACATTAAGGACAGAAAGTCCTGCTGGTCCAAACAAAGCAAGAAGAAATCAAAGGTGGAGCCCTGAATGTTGTTTTTTACGAATAAAAATATAGTTTTCTGCCGCGTCTCACACTGATTTTTATAACAAATGGCTCATCTCATGCAGATCCAACCGAAACACATTGAATAGTCAAACTAATGATGATGAACCATGTTAAAAATATCAACTCTTTTGTTCCAGCTATTCCAAAAATACCTCTTAATATTACAAAACAAGAACAATGAACATTTTCTTCATACATTATTTTTAACTTTTGGACCGAGCTGAGTCAGCTGACATGTAAGAACGTTTGCCCTAAAACAGATGTAAGTTCTGTTCAGCTAATAATTAACTGAAACAGTTCTTTATGGTCCCGTCAAACATAACTGTACGCAGCCATCCTTCTCCAAAAATACCCTGGTTTGCTCTGATTGGTCGGCTCCAGTGGCCTGATCAGGCTCCGCCCATCATTCCACATCAGCTGATTTTTAACTTAAATGTACACAGCCCAGATGTTTTTGAAAGCTGAGATGTTTGCGTCAACACAGACGGATTCTGGTGAAAAACTGATTGAAAAATAAATCAGTCTGGATTCAAAACGTGGAGCTTTAACCAACCAATCCTGGCCTCAGGCTCATTAATACTGTGTACACTGAACCCCAACAATGATCACCTGCTTCATCCTGAGGAAATCAAATCAAATAAATGATTATTAAAGAATAAGAACGGATTTGGCTCAGGCCTGGTTTATGGTTATGGTGGTATTTTTGTGTTTGAGGAAAACTGTGAATAAATACAAAGTGTTTTAAACCAGTCAGGTGTTGATTTAATACAGTGCGTCACCATTTTATCTGTTTCCAGTTAATAAACTGTGAATAAAAAGCTGTTGAGTCAATGTAAATCTGATTAAAACATAAAACCTCAGAGCTGATTTCCTGCTGAGGTGCCTTAAAGAGGCAGTGAGGATTTTATTTCCAACATTTTAGAGTCTTTAAAAAGAATGGGTAAACCTGTATACGTTAGAAGAGTTGAAGTTTTCCCTCCACACGTCTGTGCTGTGATTTATTCCAACATCGCTCCTTCATATGATCTGTTTGATTAAAAAAAAACTGTTAAAACCAAACATCAGGCCTGTTTGAATCCATCCAACATGAGAAACATTAAAGTTGGTTGTTTTCTGATCACTGTGATGTTTTAATATCAGCTACTTGAACCACAGGAAGTATTTGGATTATTTCTGATCTCATGGTTCTACAGAAAGCTTAACCTGACACCTGAAAACATCCTAAACATTAGAAGTGCTGCTGATGTGAAGCAGCTGAAATCTGTAGTTTGTTTGTAGTTGACTAGTTTTTACCACCAGATGTTTAAAATCACAGGATGAACTCCTGCTGGTGAAAACAATCAGATTTATTTCGTGCTGAGACGTTTGGACTTTGTTTTGATTTTAAAAACTCAGAAAAGGGGGACCTGTCAAAGAGCAGCTTCATACAGCCAGTCAGAAGTTTACATACACCCATAATGAGGAGTCCAAACTACATGCTCACATATTTACAAAAACTCGCCTGAATCTTTCACTAAGTGCTGCTGAAGGCCCAACAATGTTCCAGTGGTGATCAGGATTGACTGCAGCTGATAGTTTGTCCTTACAGGATTAAAGGGATCCCCGATTAGTTGTAACATTAGACTTTATTTAATAAACATATATTTTAACTGTAAAATAAAGACTGTAAAAATACTGTAGGATGTTTAGTTTTTATCATTTTTAAACTAAGTTTAAAAATATATTTTAACACGGACGGGGCCATTTTATTTACACGCAAAGCATTCTGGGTAAATGATGACGTTGATAGGTCCTCAGTGTGAGCGAGCTTTATCCACCCTGAAGGTTAATCTTGGACAATATCTGATGATCGACTCTTTTAAATGAAACCAGAGAGCGTTGACAGAGAGGAGAATACATATAATACATATAAGGCAATATAGCGTTTGCGCTAGCACAAAGACTAACAGGCTAAGCTGAGGTTCTTCTTCCATGAAGCAGCTCTGTTGTCCTCCATCCATATTTTCAGTTACAGACTGAGTCATTTCTACCTTCTCCTCTCTGTCAACGCTCTCTGGTTTCATTTAAAAGAGTCGATCATCAGATATTGTCCAAGATTAACCTTCAGGGTGGATATAGCTCGCTAGCAGCCTCGCACCGAGGACCTACCCACGTCATCATTTACCCAGAATTTTTTGTGTGTAAATAAAATGGCTCCGTCCGTGTTAAAATGTGTTTTTAAAAATTTACAAAACTAAACATCCTACAGTATTTGTATTTTTACAGTCTTTATTTTACAGTTAAAATAAATATTTATCAAATAAAGTCTAATGTTACAACTACTCAGGAATCCATTTAAAAAGGGGCTGACATGTAATTCTGTGACCGTCAGATGTAAAGAATATGGCTCTAATGTTTGAGAACCACTAAAAACTGTCCTGACTGTGGAGCACGGCGGCGGTGACACCATGATGTGGTGCGACCTCAAACCATCTGAGCGTTCCAACAGGAAAAACAATCATCAGAACCAGTTCTGGTCTGGAACAGGAAACCAGAAGCTCCATGATTGATGTAAAAAAAAACGTGTAGTTCTGAGGTGTGTGTGTGTGTGTGTGTGTGTGTGTGTGTGTATACTGTATATTAACCTGTATTTATAATCTTACTCACGTGTGAATGAAAGAAAATTCAAACAATTCTTATTAATGTTAAAGTTGTCCAAATATAATGGATTAAAAATAATAATTTAGTCACGATGACTGTATGTAAACTTCTGACCAACGCTGTGAACAAAGCCTTGAACAAGTGACAGAAACATCAACCTAAAAATCACTGCACCTTCATCATCATCCTCACCATGAAGGCAGTTTTGATAACAGAGTGTAAAAACGATTCATGTAGTGAACAGTTGTTGTTTTATCTGAATATTCAGGATGTTAAATGTGTTTTATTTTGTTTTGTTTCTGAGAACAAACAGTTTGAATGTTTAGGCCAGTTGGACACATAAAACTACTGGTAACAGCAACTCTTAGTGTTTGTGTTGCGTTCAGAGAATCCGACTGATGATCTCCAGGTTAGAGGAGGATGTGAAAAAATAAAACTTTCCTGCATGAGGTTCATTCTGAGTAAACCAAAAAAAAAAAAAAAAATCAATCAATCAATGACACCCTGGCAGCAAATGTTTTCACAGAGACAGCTGTGCATGTGAAGAATCATTAGAATAGCACCTGACTGACTCCATTCACTGAGCCGTATTAAAACAGATGAGAAACATTCACTGAGCAGCTCCCAGCTGCCGCAGGCCAGCAGAGAGCTGGGAAGGCAGAGCAGGACGATGGTTTGGTTGCAAACATTTTCCATGTTTAGTGTTTGGCTTCATGTATTAAAGCAGCTTTGGTGAGCAGAACAGACACACATCCACACACATCCAACCTCGCAGTGGATCAGACTGACACCAGAGCCCGGGACCACCTCCTGTTGGGCCGTTTCGTTGCTCCGTCAGATGACGTGGGTGATGTAGAAGATGAACTCCATGTCCATGGGGGTCTGAGGAACAGTGGCGCCGCCTCCGTGGATGACGGGGATCAGAGCGCCGTCCATCTCGTTCATGTAGTGCTGAGGGAGGAGCCTTCCTCCAGAACCAGCCTGGTACTCCACCTGAGAACACAAACTCCTCATCAACACATCTGTTCCAGCTAAGCATCATGCTTTTGTCAATTAATAAAGACCCATTTAAACATGTCACATCTGGTTTGTGTTTTGATTTATCTAGCTGCTGTAAAACATGAGCAGGTCCATCCTCTGAAACCAGGTGCAGGACTGAGAACACCCCGAAAACCAGAACTTTCATCTCGAACTTCTGAAGGATGCCAGAAACTACAACTCAAACCTCCAACTTTATAAAATCCAACAGATTTTCATTTCTGTAAGAAGTTAAACCGACAACACGACAAACAACTGATGCAAGAGCATCAGTTATAAAGTATGAGAGCAAAAGGCCAAAAGAAATGGTAAAGTTTTACTACACACCTCGGTGTGAAATTCCTTGACAGCACTCTTGTTGAGACAGGCAGAGTAGTGAGTAAGCCTCAAACTGTCACTATAGCTGCGTTTCCATTGACCAGGAAAATGTGCAAATTAGTTACGAAAATAAATCTGCTCAATGGAAACACGTCAATTTAAAAAAAATAAAAGTTTTTCGACAAAATGTTTTTGCGCTAGGATGAGGTGGTATTTCAGCCGTATCGAAATTGATGTGTTTTGCAAAACTGCAATGGAAACACTTTTCGCATCACGGGAGTCATATGATCAAGAACCGTCTGTTTCTACTGGCGAAAAGACGAAGAAGAAGAAGATAACAGGAAGTACCGTAGAAGTAGTAGTGAAATCACCGAAGCAATAAAAGAAAGTAGTAAACTCACCGACTACATTTTACCAAAAACACAGCATAAATAGCTGCTCCCAAGTATAAGGGACTTGCCGCTGGAAAGCCTGGATAAGGCGCTGACATCTCCTCTGATGATGAGCGCTAGTGTTGTGGTAGCCATATGCTATGTGTTTACATCCATTGTCGCCATGTTTGTAATGACTTATCGCGAGAACAAATGTATTCACGCGTGACTTTAATAGCATTTCTTACTTCATGGAAACACTGCAGTTGCGAAACTTTTTCCCCCCGACATTAACAGAATATCGACAAAGTTTTGTGCACATTTTCAATGGAAACGCAGCTATAGTGAAACTATCACATCTCCATCTTCTACTGCTGATCTGTAGTCGGGTCAGGGAGGCAACAGACCTCCTCCTCCACAGCAACAGCCTCCAAGTTCTCCCGGGGCACCATAAGGTCTTTCCATACCAGAGAAGATACACAATACCTTCAGTGAGTTCTGGGTCTGCCCAAGGGTACCTTACCAGTGGAACATGCCCCCCAAAACAACTCTAAAGGGAAGCATGCTAATCAGATGAACCTCCTTAAATGACTCCTTTTGATGGGGAGGAGCAGCAGCTCTACTTTGCCTGAATGATGAAGCTCCTCACTCTGTCTGTGAGGCTGAGCCCGGCCACCCTACGCAGGAAGATCCTATTATGGATCCAACATCTGGTTACTTCAGTCATAATCCAAACCTCACGACCACAGACCTGTAGAGGAGACAACTCTCATCCCAGCTGCTTCCAGTGTACTCTGAAGATCCTGGCCTGAAGACGCCAAAGAACCACATCATCCACAGACAGCAGAGATGAGACCCTGTGGTTCCTGAACTAGACACCCTCCTCTCCATGACTGTGTCTTGAGATCCTGTCCACGAACACCAAAAACATGTTGAAGACGAGGGACAGCCCTGGTGAAGTCCAACCTGCACTGAGAACAAGCTCGACTTTGTGCCAAGAATGTGAACACAGCTCCTGCTTTGGTTCTACAGGGACCGCATGGTCTTTAACAGCTATCCAGACACAACACACTCACGCAGTACTCCACACAGAACATGGTCATGCGCCTTCTCCAGGTCCACAAAACACATGTTGACTGAAGTCTTAGCAACTCTGCAAGGGTGAAGCTCCAGTCCACTGGTCCACAACCAGAATTCAACCATCAGTCAGAGCCTCCCTTAAAGAACCTGGAGTAAACGTTCCCAAAGAGACTGAGAAGTTTGATCCAAAAACAGCTTAAAAACACTCTCTGGTCCACCATTTTAAAATGAGAACTTGGTCTGCTACTCCACAGGAGTTGTCCCAGTCCACACCATGTTGAGACGTGTCGGCCATGACAGCCCCACAATGTCCAGCCTTCAGCATCTCAGTCCTCAGACTTGACCTCCTCAAAGGTGAACAGATTAAGGAGATCCTCAAACTACTCCTTCCACCGTTTAACAACATCCCTAATAAAACCGTTTCCTTTTGTTGTGTAAATGGATTCTTTGCAGTGTTTTGAGCAAATGTTCTGTATGTTTTATTAAGTACTTCTACCAGAACAGCACATTATTCTTGATCAAACTACTTTAAAAAAACTGATGCTATGAAAAACATACTTTTGTAGAGAATAAACTTTTTGTTAATGATTTGATAGTGTCAAGAGGGCCCCCTGCTCAGGATGCTTATAATGGTGGAATCAGGCCTAGAGAGTTCTTTCCCCCACAGAGACGGGATCAGGAAAAGAAAAGGAGATATCATAAGAAGAATCTAGGTCCAGAGGAGAAGCGGTTGAGACGGCAGCAGGAGGAAATATGAAGAAATAATGTAATCAACTTTAAAAGTATATCTAACCTAACCAATGATTATTATTATTACTGTGGTTCTATTAATTGATGTACTGTGATTCTTGATGACTTATAAACTTGTGTATTATGTTTTAAGAATGTTAAGATGGTGATTGAGGCAGATTAAGAGTATAAAGCATGTTCTGTAGGGTTAGTTGTAGGAACGTATAACCTGTCATGTGTAGACAAGTAGAGCATTATGTGAGCTAAGCCTGGCATCTTATCTAACGGTCAGTAAGCCTTCAGTTCCCCTTTCTAATGTCACGTGAAACCTTGTGCAACCAAAGACCTTCTCAGAAATGATGATTGTAACAGATAAAATGGACTTTTGACACCGAAGAAAAAGTACCTAATGGGCCCAAAGAAGGAGAAGTACTGAGGGTTGTTTCACAATGGAAAAATACCGTGAAAAACACATGACACATGATCGCCCAAGGCCAGGCGGGAAACAAGTTACACAGGAAGATAAAAGGCTTGAATTGGACCACAACGGGGTCTTTCGTGTCCCTCAGCTGAAGAAGGAACAGCTCAAGAAGCAGGATCTTAAGCAGCAGAATCGAGACCGGACCTGAAGTTCAGAACTCTCGTTTGGGCCAAAAGCTGATCAATTTTCCTCAACTGAGCTCAAAAGGACCGAAGATCACAATTTGGACCAAGGCCCATCACCGAGAGAGAACTRTTCAAACAACGTCCGGACCTCATGGGGGTGAAAACTGATTGCTTTATTCTGACTTCTAAAGAAATTAACAGATATGCCACGCTTATGAATTAGGAAGATAGCTCAGAATTTTAGAACGMTTTCTTTTATTCACCATCTATTATTAATCAATGTTACTAATTTGTATAATCAGTTGTGGCTGTCTCTGCAAATTCTATTAAACTGCATGCGAGCATTATAAAGACAAATTAACTGACTGGACATTGATATTTTTTGGTTGTCCTTTTTAACATTTTTCTCTGATTACAGGGGAGTTTTTTGTTAATTTAAAATAACACGATAATTGCCTATTTTATAATAGTGTGGTTATTTTAAAGTGATTAAGTAACAAAAAGGAGGTCAGATTATAACATAGAGTTCGTTTTTCTGGTTCAGAAGTCACAGAGGGGAGGTAGAATACCTCTTCTCTGAAAGAACAGTTCCCTTGAGACCTATTTTTACTGGTCCCAAAATCTCATCTCGACCACACTAAGAAGTGCACATCCTAKAAAGAGAGCGCTGCCCGAAGAAACGACAGTGCCCAGCAGATCTCTCAGGCGTCCCGGTGCTACTACGCCTGCACGAGAGCTGGGGTTCACGAAGGGAGCGGCTGTCGGAAGGAGGGCAGTTGAAGGTCGAGCCCAAAAGCTCTCGCTTGATGCCCTCGGAAGAGGCAGGTCAGACTCAGCAGCAACAGCACCACCGGCCACCCATCAATCCCCTGGCTGACAGTCATTCTCGAGTGACTGCAGGCCTGGCTCACGGAGCTTCCTCAACCCCCCCCCTTCCCCTTTCTCTCCTGCTACGGTGAGCCTGCAATCGCTGGCCCGCATCTCCCCCCCACCCTTGTACTGTTTTTATGTCCTTTACAGCTGACATCTGTTAAAATCCAGGTAGTGCCCCCCGCACCTTCCCCCCCCCCCTTCAATGACTGTGAGAGTCTGACCCATCGCCCTAGATCCACAAAGAGGCATCGACTTTTCTCCTAGACCCACCAGTGTCCGGGCGGGTAAACTGGGGGAGGAGTCACAAAGGACAAGAATAGATTAACAATAAAATGGAAAAAAAATCAATAGAAAAACAAAACTTTCACCCTTTCTTCTTGAATTCAGTAAAGTTTTAAAAAGTTCCTGGTGGACATGAAACTTGTCCTAACTCAGTCTGGTTCCTGTGCTCTGATGCAGTTTGTTGTGTAACTGAATACAGAGGTTTGGAAGCCCTTTAAGACCTGCAGGATTTAGTTTTTACCATGTCAGCCTGAGTTGAGATGCGAAGTGAGAGGGAGTTGATGCCGCTGGAGGCAAGAACAGACAGGTGAGGCGTCAGAGTGCTACAGGTGGCCAAAGCGATCTCCTTCTGGAACACGCTGCAGGACGAGAGCACGGACGCCAGGCTGCAGTCAGGAGACTTCAGCAGGTACAGCACCTGCGGAGAAATTTAGCTCAGGTCACACGTCTGGATTTACAGAATAGATAAAGTCGTCAACAATTCAATCCAAATGAACTTTCACCTCAGTGCACCTGATGGTGCGACCGTCAGACTCAAAGTCAACATCCTGCTGCACCTTCACGCTGCAGACGCCATCCAGAGGTCTCCCATCGACGCCGCTAGTTTTACTGCACGTAATCAGCCACAAAGTAAATTACTCCTTAAAATAAAACAATTAAAAACTCCTAATTATAGACTTTTCCATTATAATTAGATGCAGAAGTAGCTGAGCTGATAGGCTGATTGGAGGAACACAAAGCCAAGGCTCAGGTGAAGTAAGAGTTATTTAACAAAAGAATATTTGTAATTTTTTTCACCACAATAAACTAATTAATTTTTACAGCTATCCAAGTGTGAGTTAAAAACATCAAATTTAAAGCACTTTTTTTTTAATGTTAATTTTTTTAAAGGCCTTTAGAATAAAAAAAAGTCACTGTTTCGGTTAAAAGAAAAAGTCATTTCTCCCCATTAATACTCCCAAATTAACTTTTAGATCATTTAAAAAATAAATCCAGTCCCCCCAGACCAGGGGTCTGCAACCTGTGGCTCTGGGGCCACATGTGTTTTTTTTGGTCCCTCAGCAGTGGATCTATGAAAATGTGACCAAACATAACAGATTATT